TTCATACCACCCAACAAAATATTGGAGAATCGGGAGTAAGCGTTTAATTTGACGGCCACAATGTGAACGAGCGTTAAAACTAAAAAACTATGGTGGACATTATCAGATATAATCCTTTGTAATAAACGTTTTGAGTTAATCGTTTAAGACTGAGTGTTATTTACATTGTTCTTATAAAATATTTATTAACACAACTGAGTTCTAATCCCTTACACCGCTATCGAAGAGTCCGTAAAATCTTCGTGTACTTATGAAACACTTTATATCGCCTAACATAAGGCATAAGAATGGCATGAAATCAGTTCCTCAGACAATAGGTTTTCCGTTTTTCAAAAAATTTTCATCGTCCACAATCGTATACTTGTTGCTCCTGTACGTGTCCAAGTCAAAAATGTACTTCTTGCCGCAATCCTTCATCAGCTTGTGGATAACTGGCTTGATGTTCTCAATGCCTGCGATTCTGGCCAGTTCATTGTAGTAGACAAACTAGAATTACAGATAAAAGATCGTTGTTTGACATAAACTCGTACATGTTTTTTGTTTGCAAGAGGCTTATACATTAATAATTATTATAAACAAAACATATAACCTTAAATGAGCGAAGAGAATCGGCAGGTAAAATAAGGAACCTTAGATCTCAATATTCTTCTCATTGGTTCTGAGTTTCCCTTTGCTATTACACAATGCCCATTATGTTCCTCCAGTTTCAATCTAAGTACATCTCTGCAAGTACAGGGTATCGTGAACACTCACCTGTCGCTCGCCCATTTGATGTGCCTTCTTCTGGTTGCGCACGCCGCAGCCCCACCGTTCCTGGATCTCCTGCTCCAGGTCGGCGATCATCTGCTCCCGAGAGGGAAACTTCCGCTGGCCTGTGAAGAACTTCAGTGTAAAGCGCACCTGCATGTCGAAGATGTGGGTGGGAATCACGTTGAAGGGCAGGCCCACAAAGGCCATGGTCGGGTGGTTGATGTTGATGCAGTGCTTCCACAGTGGTTGTACGAAGTTGTCTATCACCTGGATACCCACGTCGGTGCTGAGGCAGGGGAATGTGTACTTGTAGCCGGTGCAGAACATCACGTGGCCAAAGCTTTCCGTGCTGCCGTCCGTGAAGACGGCTCCATCCTTGGTGAAGCGCTGCACGTCCGGCTTCTGCGTTACGTTGCCCATGAATGCTGTGTTAGGGGTGGTGGAAAGGTGGTGGCTTAGGAACACCTGCTGGGCAGCCACGCGAACGTGGTTGGTGATGTCCATGCCACTGGGACCGGCGCCAATGATCAGAACACGCTCGCCTGTAAGAAAAACGACATGGCCATTAAATACTTTGGCGCTAAATAAGTTCTTGCGCAGATAATCATGGGCATACAAATGTGGGTAAAACTCTGACGATATGAAAGATCTTAGAAGGGTTCGAACCCTAACCTTGTAGTATTCTATTCTATGTCAATAGGTTTAGATTTCAGTTTAGTTGTTACCTTTCATATACTTTGATATACAGTGCTCTTACCAATTGAGGACTTTCCCGATTTCGGCCCCACTTTTCTTTCTGCAATCTGATAGCTAGCGTCTTGAGATCTCTCACAGTGCTAGCTATCAGCAGATTAGCACGTGTTAGGTGGCTCTAAATTGGCACAGACGCACTACACATATTATAATTATGTCACACAGCCGTCAACAACATTATCTGCAGTCGAGGGCCCAGTTTTTATGGGGAAAACAAGAGTGGGACTCCGTCCAGACGGCGATGGAGGCGAAGTCCGAAGCTTTGGCCAGACTGATTTAAGATACAGGCAGGAACGCTCTAATCTTACCTTTAAACTTATCTGCCTTGCGGTAGAGATGGCTGTGCATCTTCTCGCCCTCGAACAGATCTAATCCCTCGACATCCGGGATGTCCGGTTCCGTGTAGTGCCCGTTACAGACATACACGAAGTCATAGTAGACTGGGTCACAACTATTCGTGCTGTGGTCCCATACGTAGACCTAAAAGTGATCAGAGATCGATCAGTATTTCGTCGGTTAAACAAACAAGTCACAGTGATTGAAAACTGGTTCCAAAATACGTGACGTCGCTACCCACCTCCCAGTCGTCCAACCGAGGACGCACTCTTATCACCTCGTGCTGCAATTTGATGTGGGGCCTTAACTTGAAGTGTTCCGCGTAGGAGCGCAGAAATTCGAGCACTTGGTTGGATGTGATGAAGGACTCGGCTATGTCATCGGGGTAGGAGTAGTCCGGATAGCCCATGACCTCCTTCGGAAGATTGGTGCTGAAACCGAGTTGCAAATCAGACATATTCCAACTCCATCGTCCACCAGATCACCTACCGCAGGCCCTCGTACATGCTGCTGTGCACCTCGTCGTACTCGTCCTTGGGCATCTCGTCGGAGAAAATCCACGTTCCTCCGATTTCGGTCCCGCGCTCGTAGGCTACCGCATCTAGACCCGCTTCCAGGGAGTTCTTTAGGGCGCACAAGCCCGCTGTTCCAGCTGAAAAGAAAAACCAGATATGCCTACTAGTTTGTGCCCCACATCACTGGAAAGATCTGAGCATCACCTCCTATTACGCAAACGCGACGCTTCTCCCCTGAAGTTTTTATCATTTTGGGATTTCCGATTGGTAACGAATTTTGAAAGTTTCTCTTTTCTCTAGCACGTCCACCTCCGCGACTGACTAACGACTATCTGAGGGGCTCGAGCTCCCAGCGATATAATAGACCCGGGAAGGCGTCTCTATGTGCGCTACAGTCGAGTGTGCTGGGCTGTTTGCGAGAGCAATGCCGCTGATAAGTCGCTTCCCTCGCGGGAATAACAGACTTGCTTGGGCCTGAGGAACCCCAGGGGAAAGGAGAGTTCGCCAGGCGGCATCATCCACCGACCCGTGCCTTATCACTCGCGGCTGCCGGTGACATAAGAGAGGCGCTAGCGGTGGCAGCGGCCGTTCTGTAAGCGTCTGGAACAAGCCGTCAGCCGATCGGGATTACAGTCAAGCCTGACTAAGCGGAAGTTATGCGCTGCTGCTGCTGATTTGGAAGATTACTCGATAACTGTATGTAAATATATATACATATGTATAATAAAATAAATTTTTAAGGCAACATGAGATATTTAAAATGAGACTAAGAATGTTCCTCTTCGGGAATTAGGACTGTTAGTAAGTAACATCTGGCTGTTGGACGGCATAGGAACCGAGACTAGGCTTCCACAAGGGGCCCACTGATAACGCTATCAATTGAGATTTGGTGGAGATTTTCAACAACTAACCCGGAGTCACTGTGTCAGTCCAGTTTAACAGCCTATTTTAGCTTTTAATTATCAGCGGACCACTCCAACACCGCGAACGCAAACGAATATCATCAGCGACTGGAATATAATTAATTTCATTCAATTACAACAACTCTGCCGAGCGCAACAATGTAGCGCCCGCAGTGAAGCCCACCTAAAATTCATTGCTGGGGGTGGTCGTTAGGTACATGGTTGGGGGGTTGGTTAGGAGGGGAGCCTACTGCTTCTAGACGCGGGTGTGGGGAAGCCAAGTAATGGAAAGTGTTAGCGCTGTGATAGTAGAATTGATTGGAATCCGGAATACAATTGAACATAAGCATGATGTGACAGCCATGCTGTCCATCAAGATTACTATTCGTTTTGCGGTGGGGTGTATAGATTTCGCACTTCATGGCAATCGGCCAGATTTTGATCACTTTTAAAGATACTGGGTATGCATATTCTAAGAGGTATCTGTGTACTTGACTTTCTCAGTTCACATAGTGACGATGGATGGATGACAAGGAGACTACTTCCTTAAGCCAAGGAATCGGTCTGCTCCGATAGTTAGATCACACCCATTTAAAAAGATTGGTTTAGAATGAGCGAAAACTAAGATTATCATTAGCTCAAAATACACGTCGCCTTTATAATTGTAGTCCGATACAACAGGAACAACAAATCTGTAAATATTTGCTTACCCGGATAGTTCAACAAACTACAATTTGAATTATTGCCGTTACTTGTAGAACAAAAAGATTCATTGAAAAGTTTGTAACAGGTTGAAGAAAGCGTTTTGAACCTATAAGGGATCACTAGTCGAGCCGATCTGAACACGTTGTATGAACGTCGAGATATCCGGAACTGTAAATGCAAAATCTTTAGATTGGGCATGCAGATTCTAGAAAGGCCTGCACTAGAAAGGCCTGCACGAGTTCGATTCAGAACGTTACCATTACCAAAAACTGTTACGCCCACACGTTTGTAAAACGTTTCGATTTCTTTTTCATCAATTTTGACCTTGCAAGTTTCAAAAATGTGCTCATTTATTATAGCCGCCACTCGTAGAGTACCCTTTTACTAGATTCGTTAAAAAGTATGTAAAGTATGTATGAAGGAAGCGTTTTCGACCGTATAAAGTATATATTTTTGATCAGGATCAAGCCAGTCTTATTGGTCATGTCCGTATGAACGCCTCGATCTCAGGAACTACAAAAGCTAGAATGTTGAGATTAGGCATGCAGCTTCCAGAGACATTGACGCAGCGCAAGTTTGTTTCCAAATGTTGCCACGCCCGCAAAAAACTGCCACGCCCACACTTTTTAAAAATGTTTTGATATTTTTTCATTTTTTTATTCTCGTAATAAACATGACATAAACATGTCTTTTAGTTCTTAACAGCTTCTTCACACAACAACTTCTTCTGGGCTTCGTACGAGTGAAAACAATGACATTTTTCTAATGTCTAATATACTAATATCAACTAAAATATTTATTTAATGTCTAAATATACTAATATAAGTTCAGAGATCGCTGTCTTTTAGTTTTTAAATAGGCGGAAGCTTGTTTGGTTCTAAATAAGTTCAATTGTAAATCTGAAAGAGCGAATAATTGTAAATATCTTGAGAAGTTGCTCAAGAGGGTGACAGTAACATTGGTAAAACAAAAGTTTTGTTTCCATTTAAAGTTATTGCAAAATAATCGGTTCTCGGTTTCGGAACCGGTGTCGGAACCGATATCGCGAACCGGTTCCCAGCGAACCGCTGCCCGCCAGTCGCGAAAACACAACGAACGCACAATCACAAACGCCAGCTCGCGAGAACGGGAGCTCGGAAGAACGGAGAACGGAGATCGGAGAACCGTGGAACCGTAGATAGAACGGAGAGGGTGGTCGGCCGATTCCCCCTCCCCACTTGCCCATCAAAATACAGAGCTCTCGGTTAAACGCACACACAGCGAGGCGAAAAAGAAAGCAAAGGCGCTGCGAAGCAGAGCGGCTGAAAATAAAATGAAACTGGGATCGCGGCACCAGCAACAAGTTTTAGTGGTTCTCCTTTGTGCGTCTCGTTCGTGTTTGCTGCCCTGCGCTTTGCTCGCCACTTTCGTCGCCGACTTTTATTTTGTTTTGCCCATTTTATCAGAATCGGATCCCAATCCGATCCCGACCACCTCCAAAAAAGCGCAAGACAAGCTGAGCCTCAGCCGCGTCGAGGTGAGCTGATCCGCACCCGCTCCCGCTCCCGATCCCACTGCCCACAGCTCACTCTCGATCCCATCCAATCCGCTCCGCTCCGCTCCGAGTGCATAGTGCATGCAAAGTCGCGGGACTTGGCTTTCGGAATTACACAACCCACATGGGGCAGCGCCAACAAAAGCCTCAGAAACAACAATAGCGGGCAGCCAAGCATTCTGCCCTCGAGCTCGACCATGGCTCCCACCACCAGTCCGCCGCCCAAGCTGGCCAAGTTCAAGTCCTCGTCGCTGGACCACGAGATCTACACGGCCAATCGACGCGGCACCATTGCAACGGCCTCCAGCGACTGGAAGGCGCTCCGCGGAGGCGGCGCTGGAGGAGGAGCAGGATCCGGTAGCGGACCCAATCCCTCTAACGGACGCTCCCTCCACGCCGGCGGAACCATGACACGGGCCGCCTCCACATCCTCGCTAGCTAGCAGTACGCGCACCACGACCAACTACCAGGAGTACAAGATGGATATCATCAACCAGGTGAGGATCAGAAATGTGCTATTGGCTTAAAGGAAACTGTGTAGTGGAATCCGAGAACTATTAACTTCCGAGAACTTCCGTTGCAATGAACAATTTGGGAACTATTTAGTTATAATCTTCAGAGTGTGCTGGAGTTTTTGCCTTATAAAGTAATCGGGTGATTCAGCTTATGTTCATAAAGTTGTACATTAGTACAGATATCAAAACAAGAGTTACTCAACTTATGTAAGTGCTAGACTGATGGATGGGGAGATTGCAAGCAGCGAGTGTTTACATTGAATGCTGAAGATTTAGTTTTAGTGTTTTGCAGATTTCTAAGCTTTGGAAAATACCATATACACATTTACAAATACTTTAAGTATGTGGACAGACAGTCTTTAGCTCTAATAGTCTCCCAAATTTCCAGTTCATATGGACGGTCGCACGGACATCCTAATCTTTATACGGCCGGAAACGTTTCTTGCAAATTACTTTTCAGTTAATCATTTCATTCCCCCAATAAGAATAATTAAAATGATTTTATGGCTGTACAACAGCAGTAATAGTATCCAATGCTTTTACTTTACGTTTTTCGGAACTATACTTTAATTGCAATAACTAAGGAAAGATTCTACAAATTAATTTGAAAATGTTCAGCGGCCAAAGCTGATTCTTAGGGATATTATGTTTTCATTAAAAAAGCCTATCTATGAGATACCTCGTAGATAAATAAGGCTTTTTACATATTTTTTCTATTATAATTATTGAAGTTCACTTAAAAATGTATTTTTTTAAATTTATCGATTTGAGCTTTAATTTAAATACTGTTTTGGGCTTAAATAGTTTAAAATCCTTAGTTAGTTATAAGTTATATAGTTATTCTATGTAAATTAAAGCTTTATTCTATAAAGCTCCACAATCTTGTTAAATATTTTAAGTAAAATCTAACTTTTTCAACATTGAATGTGTCACAAAGAGCTCAAAAGTGAACTGGTCATACATCGGAGCATGTGTACATAATTAAACCCGATTTAAGAGACTTATAAATTCGACAGTTTGGTGACTAAATATTCGGCAAGTACGCAAAATGAGGAAGGAAGACCCAAATTAAACGAAAAAGCTGTTCAAACAAATTAATTTCGTGGACAAATTTTGAAACTATGAACATGACAAAGCAGACAACTGATCTGAAGAGACAAACCGATTCCCACTTATTGTGAAGAAATGTTTGCAATAATGACTAATTTTTTGATGGCGCTGATCGAGGACGATCGATCCGAATTTGAATCTAAATCTGTGCTATCGACCATATGGGTCGTGACTGGCTCAACTTAATTGATAAGGCAAATATTTTTTGTTTTCTCCATTCGTTTATCTGAGACTGATAAAAACTATTTACCCCGCTCCTCTAGGTGAGCGATATGTAAAGTTTTTATTAAATATATTTGTCTATGTGGCTGCTTTCGCCGGGGCTGATAACTTCTTGAGCAATTCTTTGCTAAGCGCATTACGGAGGTTTGCTTAGAATACCTTCCCTTAAACGTAAGAACAGTTTTCTTTTAGCCCATCAACTAACAAATCAAATGGGAATGGGAGGCTTTCAGGGAAAATAAAGGCAACTGGACAAAAGGGAAGAACGCCGAAGGCGCCACGGGTGGAACCATTATAAACAAGTATTCCAAAAATAAACCAACCACTAACAATATTACCCGAAAGCCTCAGGTGATGAATTCAGCGAACTCTGGCCATTCAAGTAAATTTAAAGGTATGTGGTCGCGCCACACTCGCCAAAAGGAAAAAGCAGGGCGCACCAAGTGTTCGCCATAACAAGATCACGTAAACAAATTGACGGATTTATTGGTTGTTCGCTGGGAGGCTGGGGTTCCGAGTAGCTTCGATAGACTTGTCAAGACTCCAGCTTCAAGGCCAGTGATTTGGCAGGGGTTCGATCTCTTTGGCTGGCCATGTCATAAGTCAAGTTGGCTCCAAAGTAAATAATTATCTGTTTACTTGGCTGCGAATCGTTGGCGTGACGAACGGTAATTGTGCGACATAAATTGACGGAGCAAACTACAACTAAATTGGTTGGAATTGAACGGAACATGTAGGGAATTTTTTAATTACGCCAAACATTTCTCGTCTTTTAGAATCCATAAGTAAATATGTAGCTGTTTTAATGTTTTTCCACAGCACGTGCTGATCGCTTCTTTTGTTTAAAGCGTTTGGCAATGTTTATTACCGCCATGTGCACTTGCCATCAGTTTGGCTGCATGTTTAGATACTCTGTAAGAGGTGTGATTGAAATAGCCCAGTTGTCCACGGAATCCTGTAAACGGATTTAAAGCGACGTAACAACAACATGTACGTTCGCCGGAAAACTCGAGGCAGTCGATTGATATTGCTTAAGTGCCCCGCTGATGGAGCAAAATTGACTGGCAATGATCAAAGCGCTGTAGTTAATTTGATTTTGATTGAACTTTTGGCTTTGTCGTTCTATTCCAGGGGAAATGTCTGTGTGGTCAGTACATCAGAGCGCGGTTGCGACGGGCAGGAGTCCTCAACCGGAAGGTGACACAGCGACTGCGCAACATTCTGGATCCCGGCTCCTCGCACGTGGTCTATGAGGTTTTTCCGGCCCTGAACAGCGTGAGTCGACCGTTATCCACCATTGGATCTTTTTATAACCTAGTTTAATCCACAGATGGGCGAGGAACTGGAGCGGATGCACCCGCGGGTGTACACAAACATATCCCGACAGCTGTCGAGGGCCCCGTTTGGGGAGCTGGAGGACAGCGACATGGCTCCCATGCTGCTTAACCTAGTTGCCAAGGATCTTTTTCGCTCCAGTATCACGTGGGGCAAGATAATCTCGATATTTGCCGTATGCGGCGGCTTTGCCATAGACTGCGTGCGCCAGGGTCATTTCGACTACCTACAGTGCCTGATTGACGGTCTGGCTGAGATCATAGAGGATGACCTGGTCTACTGGCTGATCGACAACGGCGGATGGCTGGGCCTGTCGCAGCACATCCGACCCCGGGTCGGCGAATTCACGTTCTTGGGATGGTTGACACTGTTTGTGACCATCTCTGCGGGCGCGTATATGGTCTCAAACGTGTGTCGGCGCATTGGAGGTCAACTGTATTCGCTGCTGTTCTAGATTTGCCTGGGATCGCTTCGTTTAGAAATACAATCGTACCATTTAGTCAATGAGAGCTTCGAATCATTCCTGCTTCCATGGGCACCAGTCGTTTAGTAGTATGTAATGGACCCTGTTTTACGTATAATATTGTTATCACCTTTCCCCTCTTTTTGTATATACAAGGCTATTCTAGGCGCAATAAAGCGTGTGTTTTAAAATCTTGATTTAAATTTGGCGCCAATGTTGGGTGGAAAACTCGGAACTGGTACTTTGTGTGCGTTGTTTATCAACACTAGGGACCAGTGGAGGCACCAATTATTTCGAGTATGGAAATCAATCTTTTAAATATTTCAGCTTCCAATATTCGATTTTTCAACAGGGCTTACGATTATGAGGAATGGACTAGCCCACTATATCAGTTTTTAAAATTTGGTATGTTTTTCTCAACGAATCAATCTTCTAGATTTTAAAAGAAGAATAAATATTATTTGAAAAATAAACTTTAAAAAAGGAAATTTAAATATGTGTGGGATAATCATATTTCTCGTCTGGTAAATCTGATAAATAAATCATTTTTATTTCAGAACATTTTCAACATTTTGCAAGTGAACGTTTTAAATTTGTTTGAAAGACTTGCCACCCAGTTACAAGGCTAATAGACAACAAGCCCTGTGGCAACGCTTCGACCTCCACCAACCATTTGTTATTATTGCTGTTGGTCATTATAATTTGTTGTAAATAAAGTTTGCAGTAAATAATGCCATGTCATGTAAGTGCACTGTTTCCGTGGGCATGAGCTTCAAGTAACGTACATTTGCAGCGTCCAACCAGGCCGAGGAGAATAACCCGAACTTCCACGTGGAGGATGGACACTTCCCCGGAGGTTCATTGCCGCAGGAATTCCTTTACTGCGAGAGCTGCGGCAACGTATACGAGGACACTGAGTCCTACGACAGAGACCACAGTTCGCAGGCCGGCTGCTGCGTCGGCGCCAGCGGTGAATTGGATTTCGTCGAGGAAGTCGCCGAAGATTGCATTTTGGAAGAGGTCGGTGACGAGGACATTGTGGACGCAGACGTGCCCCTCTGGGAGCTGGTGGAGGAAGTTCCGGCCAACTCGGAACGGAAAACGGAGAAGGACGACCAAACCGAGCCCAGCAATTCCGATCGCTACTTTTGTTACGATTGCCACAGCATTTTCGAAAATCGAAATAGAGCTGAGGAACACATATGTCCGCGGGCGGAAACAGGCGGAGGATCCAGCCAACAAGTTGGCGAAGTGAAAGCACCCGCCCGGCGAAAGTTAGCTAATGTCTATGCAAGGACGGGTCCAAAAGACGCATCATCCGTCATTAGCTGCGGAATCTGCAACACTGTTTTCAGCTCGGACAAGTTTCTTAAATTCCACATGCGCATTCATGAAAATCGAGCTCCCAAGAGCATTCAAGACGCCCTTCCCATTGGGGCCCATCAGCAGTATAGCGAGCTGGACCAGTTCTACTGCGAAATATGCAACAAGAGGTATGCCTAACTTCTGCAATCGAAAGAAATAACTAGAATCCTTTCCTTCTTTCCCAGTTTTGATGAGACCCTTCTGACGATACACAAACAGATGCACCAACAGGAAACTTGTGACTTTATGTGCAGCATTTGCAACCGGAAGTTTGATAGCGATGTTACCTATCAGATGCATCAAAAAATCCATGAGAAACCTCGCGAATCCGAAGCCTCCCGAAGATTAACCCAGCGTACTAGTCTCGATAAGGAGAAACCCGGGTTTCCCTGTCAATACTGCGAGCGCGTGTTCACCCGCCCCTTTGAAAAAGTCAAGCACGAACGGGTCCACACCGGAGAAAAGCCTTACGCCTGCGAAGTCTGCGGCAAGACATTTCGGGTGTCCTATTCCCTAACCCTTCATCTGCGTACCCACACCAACATTCGGCCGTATGTGTGCACCGTCTGCAACAAGCGGTGGGTAAGAATAATAAGCTTCAGGAACTAATAATTTTAAATCAATTATTATTTTAGCTTTAAATCGCACCAAGTGTACTCCCACCACCTGCGCATCCACAGCTCGGAACGACAGTTTTCATGCGATGCGTGCCCCAAGTCCTTTCGGACCTCCGTGCAGCTGTACGCCCACAAGAATACCCATACCAAGCCTTACCAGTGTGCCGTGTGCAATCGCCCCTTTTCTTCCATGTACGCCGTCAAGAATCACATGCAGACCCATAAGGACGTCAGCACCAAAGGAAGAGTCGGCACTGGTACGCCGGCCCTTAAGAGGGCGCAGACCTCCAAGAACCAGGCAGCTGGGAAGTTCTATTGCAATACTTGTGGAGCTGAGTACGCGCGTATCTTCGCCCTGCGCCTGCACATGAAGTCGGCTCACGGCTTGGTGGAGGAGCAGGAAAATCCCTCAACCTCATTTGAAGCTGCACAAGTCGCTGAGCCCGACGATTCCGAGACTGCGGTGTTGATAGCGGCCGCCGAGGCAGATGCCGCTTATATTAACGCCGTGGTAAATGACGTAGACGTCGCGGGCTCCGTTCCCACCTACGAAGATTGCGTTGAGGTGAGTTACTAGTCCTTTGTTTCCCTTGCCAAACCTACTATTTTCTTTCCTTTTATGGCAGTTTGACGTGGATAACTTCCACAGCGAGGAAGTTATTACAGATTGGCTTAAGTAGCAGTTTACACTTTTACTAAGACTTCCAAATAAATATTTGTCTTAAAAATGTTTTGTACCTAATAATATTTTTTAATTAGCTGCCACACATTGAAACCCAACGGTTTCGGTACAATATTCCTATTTGGATGAGTGGTTTCTGTATGGGAAGGTAAAGAGCGCTCAATATTTGTAATCGAGCACTTGTAAACGGAACGTTTATACAAAGACCACGCCAGATTGGCTTATGTGAAAACTAAAATTAAATATTCTGTTAGCACTTGTAAAACTTTATTAGGACTTTGTATTTTTTATTAGGATTATAACTGGTGTGTAACAAGTAAATATATTGCTGGCGTACAATTAGACCAGGCCGTTGTGTTTACTTACGAACAGGGATATTTAACTACAAATAAATTTAAAACCTTATACTAAAAAACGTGTGATTGGTGTGTAGCTTAGGCGTTGTTCTTGCCCTCGTCACCCGCGGCGTCGTCTTCCTCCACATCGCTGTTGTCCTCGTCGCATATCTCCTTCAGGACTTCCACCAGGTTCTTGGCCTCGTCCAGTTCCTGGCGCATAGTGTCCATCTCCTCCTCAAGCCCCTCGATGCGCTCGTGCAGATGTCGGTTTTCGGTGAGCGAGTCCTCCAGCGCCAGTCGCCGCTGCTCGGCTAGCAGCTTGTAGTAGTTCTCGCCGGGTTCGGCTATACTGGTGAGATCCTCCGCCGTGATGGGCTTGTCAGCATTGCCAAGCGGAACGGCCTCAGCTTCAGTCTGGGTATCCGCATCCCTTGTGGATGTCGCGGACGCAGTGGTGGCCGTGTCCACGCACTTGCGCTTGCCGTATTTGGGCGCGACTTGGACGCCGGCCTTCAGACGACTCAGCTGATCCACGATGGAGGCGCGCCCTGAACCAGTGAGGTTCTCCTTGTCGTTGACGTTGCCCTGCAAGGGTTTCAGGGTCTTTCGCTGCTGCTTCAGGTGCTCCTTCTGCTCGGCCTCTGTCTCAACTTGGATGTAGACCCTGGCAGCGCTCGAAGACATCTTCGGAGCTGTGTATTGTGCTTTCTTTGGGTTTGGTTGTCGGGCGGCAGCGCTTGTGCTACTTGCTTGTCGGTTGTTTATGCATTAATTTGTTCACAACGCTTCACCGTTTTCCACTCGTTGTAATGGCCGCCAAAAAATGCCAATGCCGCGTGCTGTTGCCCAACACTGTTTGCTTAAGGGGATGCATCATATCCAGCTCCATCCCTGGTTTTCGTTTCACGGCTTTCACAGAAAATTTCTATGTTATTTTGGGAATGTTTCTGCTGTTAGACGTTTATCATTAAAAATATAATCTTAAAGTTTGTACATAAAACAAAACTAAAAAGTTTTTCTTGCTGTACTTCGTTTTGCAAACAGTTTTTAGCGATAAAAGTCAACCCTTTGTTACAAAATTGGAAATATAATAAATTGTTATTATTATAAGATACCTTAAAAATGATCTATTTTGCTGTCATACACTTTCAAAAGACTTTTAACAGATACACATATACTTGATGATAAAAATTCTCAAAAATGCAATTTTCTTCTTAATTATTAAGTTAAATTTTTAACCATTTTGCAAATCATAATTTCTACTCAGTCAATATGTATCCAATATTCACCAATGTCGGTATGTAGAAATGAAACGTAATTAAAGGAAATGCATAAAATTATTGCCAAAAAATTTAATATTTAAGGTTCGTCTATGTATTTAATAAAATAACTTTAAAGTAGAAAGTACGTAGGATATTAATTTTTATTTAATTGTTTTAAAAAATGTAACTTGTGAAAATCAGATTGATTGTAAACAAAAATAATTTTGATAATATCTTCTAGTCGGTTTTATGAAAAGGTGTTTGGCTAGTATCCAAAATGTAAAAATAAAATATTAGGCTGGGTTAAATACTTTTAAAAATTAATTCTTACATTTTAGATGGACGTTTAAAAGTATATAAAGACCCCTAAAACACATGGGTGGTTTAAGCTTAGCATCTAATGTAAGCTTACTAAAGTGTTAGCAAACCGGCATTGACAAAATAGAATTTTAAATGCGTCTAGTCCTAGCTTTGGTTGATTATAAAGGAGAAAAACAAGGAAAAGGCAGATTTGAATTAAAAATTAATATTTTTCTTCTGCTTAAAACGCAATTGCTGTGATATTTCGCCAGGTGGCAACGCCAGTCACGTCACGAGGACACGAAGGATAAACGTGCGATAAGAGAATAGCCGATAAGAGCTCCACCCAGTCGCAAAAAAGATGTAATTCTCGGAGTAGCGGATATAAATCGTTTACATTTTTTATTTTCCACTCGCAACACATACACTGCACCTTCACCCGCCCCACCCCGGAGCAGTCGTTCCATGATGGACCACAACGAAATCTCTATGAGCATGGACGTCAAGCTGGATACACACGATAAGCGTCCAGTGGCTCTGCGTTACAAAACGTGGACGCGCTGCCAGGTGAAAATAGAGGCCATTAAGTGTGTGCCCTGCTTCCTGCGGTTCAGTTTCCAAGCGATGGAGACTGAGTCATACTCCCAAGAATGTCATCCCGCTAAACCCATTAGCGTCTCCGTGAACGTTCCGGGCGTCAGCTTGAGCTTGGCCACCTCTCGCACGAAGCAGCACTCATACGGACTGTTTTGGACGCAGAACCGGCGGGACTGCTTCATCTATTTCGCCCTGGAAACGGATCTTTCCTGTCGGCGCCATATGAAATGGATTCGAAAGTCGATCAAGAACCTGGAGCTTTATCGCCAGGTCTTTCTGGAGCAGCGCCGGCTGAGCAGGGGTCCCGGAGGTCTGGGCCCGCTGCCTAACCTGCCAGAAACCCTCGATGCTAGCGCTCTCTCGCCGCGAGTCTCGCAGATTTACGAGGAAATTTTTGACGACAGCCGCATTTCCCGCGTCTCAATTGCCTCCGGCATCTACGAGGAGATGAAGCCATCAGTCATGGAGACTCCTTCACCGCCTCCGCTACCCGCTCATCCTTACCGTCAGCGAATAAACACTTTTGAGTGCGCCCAGCTAGGAGAAATTGCACGGTCCAGTACCAATCCCGAATCGGAGCTGGCCAAGAAGAAGAAGTACAAGAATATGCTGGACAACCTGTTCGGAAGTTCACGTCAAAAGCGTTCCGGCAGCAGCAGCGAGGGGGCTAATGAACCCAGCGAGGAGGCCCTGCCACTGTATGAGAATGCCCCAACGCCGGAGCCTGTGCCTCCGGTAAAGCGCACATCCCAGTTGAGCAAGTCCCAGCGCAATAGCTTCTCAAGTCCGGACCTGTCCAAACTCAATCTGCTGGACACCTTTGGCGAATACTTCGAAGCTCAAAACCATGAATCGAGCATGGAGCTAAACATTAGTCTGGATGAGTCGGTCATTCAACCGATCTCTCGGAAAGAGATTGTTGCGCAGATAACTAGCCAATTGGGCAAGGCCGATTCTTTGGAAAGTCTGAATGTTTCTGAGCAACTTCCTTACAACTTCAACTTTTCCGCCTGCAACACGTCCACCATCAATCTCATCGGATCGCATGGAGCTGTTCCGCAGAGTAATCAGCTCAAAAAGAATAAGATACTACAGGACGACCTTACGGGTTACTGTGTAATGGCACCCATTTTAAAGGCGACAGTAAAAGAGCTGCGTGGGCAGCCAGGCGGCAGCACGGTGTCCACTTCCTCCGGATATTCCACGGGCTCCTACTGCTCCTCCACCAGCAGCTGTAACACGGAAGATCAGCCCACCAAGACGCAGAACGCCAACGAGAGTGACATTTACGAAGCCATGCATGGCAGCTCCCTGAACAGTACCGTCGGAGCAGCGGCAGCTGGATTTGCGGAGCATCTCTACGAGAACCTGTTGGCTGTGAAGGCCGCACAGGAGCTGGAGGCGCAGCCCACCGGTTTTGGACTGAGCACGAGCACACCCACCGAATCTCCTCTGGCGCCAGCTTTGCCGCAGAAGGGAACTCCCAAGGACAAAACTTTTCAACAGAAACCAGAGGAGGAGAACTACTACCAGACACCAAGAAAGTCGATTATAAGTGTGGACGACAAAATACCCTCCTATTATCCGAACAGCTGCGACACCCTCAAGTCAAAGCGACGCAGTCCCACCGAACATGGACCTAGTTTCAGGCACTTAGTCAGTTCCAAATTGCGACGCGAACGTAAGGAGAACCTTTACATTTCCTCGCCCCAGCAGATCATTGAACAGCGCCACAAGGCGGCCACCATCTCATCATCATCAGCTAGGACTAAAATCTCAACCAAAAAGACTGCCGCCCACAAAATCTCAGACAGTGTTTATGCAGTCACCCATCCGGTAAAGCGTCCGAATAGCACCAATAGCAACAATACCCACCAAAGCAACAATAACAATAACAATGAAGGCGTGGATGACGAACTGCTGCACCTGACTGTGTTGAAGAACATTGACTTTAAGTTTGATGATGGTCAAGCTTCTGAGGATTCCTGCCAGACGAAAGCGTCAGCTTTTCCCGTGGCGAACGGGTGCTGTGTACAGCCAATTCTCGAGAAGGAGTACGAGGATCGCTTTCAAGCGGCGGAGAAGACGGGTCGTCTTTTGCAGAAGTATGCGACGCTGGCCAAAATCGGGCATTCGCCTAACAAACCCTTGCCCGCACCAGCGCGCCAAGAACCCATGATTCAGTCCGTGGCCGCGTCCAACGAGTTGCAGCCCGAGGGAGGCACTATGAAAAAGTTCGCCTCGCTACCACGCTTCAAGAAAATTGACTTTTCGCCGCTGAAGATGAGACTCAACAGTGTCCTGCACAGAAATCCACCATCGCCGCAGCAATAAAAGTTGATTCTCCGATTTTCGTACCACTTCCACACTTTGCTTTGAAAACACACTGCTATTTACCAATGTCGCTATTTATGTTGTAGTTGTTTGTGAATGTGATCTGATTAGTTCGACGAGTTGATTATTATTATGTTATCCGAGTATGTAATACGCTTTCCCACGATGCACTTAGTCTTAAGCCTTATATATTCATCCTGCTTTGTCAAATGTATTTTAACGAATCATATCCGGATCCACTTGGAGGGGTCCCCTAGTATTACTGTTGTGAACCAACGATGAATGTCTAAGATTTATACATATGAATATGCTCAATTATGAAAATTTACAAAAACGCTTTTATACGTATTAAGCTAAACCCATATTGTTGACTCATTTAGGCGCCTTGTTGTTAAAGAAAAACTAAATTTAGCTAAACAATTTTCAATTCTACAAATGATCGTCTACCAAGATAGGCTTACGCCGCAACAAATATTTTGTGACGGCGTAGCCCAATCTACGCTTTTTGGCTTTGCACCACATATCAGAAATTAGTTAAACTTACAATAAAATGCTTCAAGGTAGCATAACCGATGCTGAACTGTACCGTGACTAAACCATAAGCTTACAAATAAAATATGCCACAAAAACGAAGTAAACTTTACAAGCAACTGAAAGGCTTTCATTGTTTTCAAGAACGAACCACTTTATTTTCCCGTTGTCTCAGCTGTAAACCATGGGTCGTCGCTGTTGGTTTATAAACTCCTGTTCCACCCGTGAATCCTTAGGCACCACATAAAAGAGCAGGGCGCCACCAGAAACGAAAAATCCCTTTTCGGCGATTATATCGGCGAGCTGCTTTTCCTCGTCCACTTTGTGGACGCACCCCACCTTGCGGTTCTCGTAGTACACGTGCACGTTACCCAGCCGGTAGTTTTGTGCCTTGTCGCATGGGAGCGTTTCGGCGAACAACGTCGCCAAGCAATCCCGCATGGTGGCGGTCTCTGGAAGCTGCTGTTGAAAGTCGCTAAACAGGAACTCGGGGTAGGAGAAAGCAGCCGGCCAGATCAGCGTGCTGCCGTCCTCCTCCAGGTGCACTGGATGGTCCTCCAAAGGCAGAAACTTAGGCCGAAGGAGCTCCTCGCTTAAGGTAGCCCTTTTGCCAACTTTTTGATCGTCAAACTTAATGGCGCGCTGCTCGATAGCGTCGCGCAGTCTGTGGAAACGTGTAAGCCGACGCTTTGCCTCGGCAGCCTCCTTACGCTGATTGCGCTCCATCTCGAGCTGCGGAAATCAATTGTATTATGTAGGTTGACCTCCGGTTGGATGACTCATTCTCACCTTCTTCATCTTGTTCTTGTGCAGCAGTGCGTTGGCCTCCTTGTGGTCGACGTCCACCTCGAGCAGCTCCTCGCACATCTGAGTGCACACATCGAATCTCTCCAACTCGTACGCACACTGTGCTGACCGCCAACGGGCCTTTGTGTAGTCCGGCTTAAAGAACAGAGCCCGCTGGGCGTCGCTCAGCGAGGATCTGTAATTCTTGATAAAGTAGTGAGCGGCCGAGCGGTTGTTGTAGAGAACGGCTAGCACGTCGGGATTTTCCGTCTTGGACTTGATTCCCTCGGTGAAGCTGTAGATTGCCATGCGGAACTTCTTATGCTTCATGTAAAAGTTGCCATCCTCTTTATAGTTGAGCGCCAGCTCGTCGCGCGTGTTCTCCTCTGGATCGTACTTGAGCTTCTGCAAGCCCTCGAACATCGGATGCACGTCGTCGCCTGGCTGAGGAGCACGTTTCATGAAGAACGGGTGCTTGTCCATCTCTTCCTGCCAGCGGTCCTCCGGCCAGCCCTCCTCGTACCGTTTCTTCTCCAGGCCATCGATGAACGCATCCAGCTCCGCATCTAGCTGGGCCGCCAGCTCCAGACGCTCCTCATCCGTCCAGTTTTTTTGTGCCGCCAGTTGTTCCATTTAGTCCAATCTGAAACAGTGTGACCGCAGACGAGCCGTTATAATATACCAACTGAACTTGATCGAAATACTTTTCTTTTAAATTAAATTAGTAAGAGAATGTTTTTCGTATGTTCTTTTCTTATTTTACCTTTCTAAAGATAGCTGTTATTAGTCTATTAACAAGGCTCTCTTAAACTAGGCAGTATACTGATTTACGGTCATTTATGAAATGCTTTAAGAGGTCTTGAACCGCCATTAGGTGCCACAGATTTCCCAAAGGTGGCGCTCCTAAAATAAAGGTGACCCTCCGTATATCGATAAACGCACATGTTCTTTTTTTAAGGAGTTAAAGTAAAAACGCATTATGATAACAAATAATTATGATAATAAACTTTAAGGCTTATGAGGTTCTCTGTATAAATCAGCGCCTTCGTGATGGCTCAGAAACATCGATAGTCGCCATAAAATATCGAAATTTTATATGAATCGATGCGTTAATGCCATAATCGGCGCTTTGCCACCTCTAAATGGCAGAGACGCGACTGAGCTGAGACGTACCGTTGGCAGAGACGCGACTGAGAAATAAAATTAAAACGTCGACGTTCCTTCCTCGCAGAAGAAACCTATCAAAATAAAAACAAACCGAGCGTGCGTTCGCGCCAAATACTTAACAACAATTAGCAAACGTAAGAAGCAAAGTGAGTGTCGTCGGCAGCGGGAGCCCGAGTGCCCAGCTTGGAACTGGGATCCGACCCAGTCCACGTCCGTCTCGTCCCCGCTAAATTAACTCTTGTTTCCCCGTCTTGTCCCCTCAGTGCATACCCTCACGGCTGCCATTGAGATGGACAAGCTGGATGCCAATCTTGAGCAGCAGTTTGATCTCAATCTCATCGAGGCTGTCAAGCTGAACCCAGTGATATACGACAGGTCGCACTACAATTACAAGCACTTTGTGCGCAAGGCCCAGACCTGGAAACAAATCGCCGAAACGCTCGGTGTGCCTGGTAAGTGAAATTCGGCTGGTTTTGGCTACGGGTTTTCTGCTTTCTGTCTGCCGTCTTCGGTCCGTGCCCCAACCAGCCAATTGATTAATTCTGTACGGGCGCGGGTCGCAGGGAGCGGGACAAGTCAGTCGACGACGACGACAGAAAACGACGCAAAAGTGAACGGCGACGCGGCGCAGTAGCTGGCTGATGGTTAGGAAATTGCAGGGACGGATCTAGTCGGGTGAGGGTGTGCAGACCGTAACCGCTTCTAAAAGGCATTTTATGCGAATAATATCAAAACAATATAAATAGAAATAGGAATGCTGTTCACTAGATAATAATCTTTAGTGGAATTGTGGCTAGTTTTATATCTGTCATAAAATTACCGCCCCTTTCGGGCGCTCGAACTGCGCTCCTGCCCGCTCTGTCGGTGTGAAGACCGCTGTAGCAGTGTGCTCAGTCGATATTTTTGAAGTTGCTGTACTTTGCCGTCGCGTCGCAGTAGTTGTCTCGCTTGCTCCGCAGCCATTCTGCTTGCGCCAGCGTTTATTTTCGTACACTGCGACTGCGATGTGCGCTGCTGCGACAGCTGGCTCGCTCACACAAGCTCGTATACATACATACAGCATACAGTGGCGGAAAAGAGTTTTGCACGTATTTATGGGTTAAATATATACATATGTAAGTTACACAGTTTTTCGAAGGAAACAAACTACTTTGTAGATTATTTAGGAATTCCAAAGCCTGAAAAAGAAGGTATTTAGAAGGACTTGTAGATAAAAATAATTTAAAACAGCTGTGCCAACACTTTATAGCCCCACTGTACATACCGGAGACCGACCTGACAGCTTTCGTTTCGTTTTCATGAGTATACCAACAAAATGTGCCGTTCACCCCACCCCCTTGACGGCCTTTAATCGAACCTTAAATTTTCGCAAAAATCGCAGCACCTCATCCGCTTTCGATTATGCAAGTAGGTGGCTCGAAAGCTGGAGTTGCAACCAAGTCTCGCCAGCAGCAATGCCACAGGTTTCCGTCTCCTGGCAGAGGCCACGGGCAGCGGGAGTCGAAGTCGGCAGTAGCCACTCGGCGACGTCACAGCCACCGTCACGTCAACGTCTCTGCTGGCGCTGGGAAGCTGCTGTCCGCTGCCTTCCTTCTGCCACCGCCGCTGCTGCTGCCAACGGTTTGTTTTGGTTGCCGATTTGATGCTTCTACCAGGCGCTCTCTTGGGGTGGGTTTGATGGCATAGTTCTAGTGCCTGCACAGTTTTAGATCACAGTAGTCCAGAACATCTTGAAGAACCCTTTTCGTTGAACCGTTGCGAACAGTTGCAGGTGTGCGCTGTTTGTTAGGAACAGGTCTTCGAAGAAAATGTACATGTATGTATACATACACGTATGTAATATTTTCAAAAACACTTCATTTATTCAACGAATCTACCTTTTTATTTTCGAATGTAACTACATTTATAAAGATAAATATATGTACTTTATAAATCATTTGACGGGTTAAACGATAAGATACATACATACACACATATGTACAGTGACGATTTTTATTATTGGCAAGAGTATATCTGTATATCTATCCTTTGCTTTATAATAATTAAAATTATTAAACTGACAGACGGACATGACCGTATCGACACGGTTAGTAATCCTGATCAAAAATATATATACATGTGTACTTAAAAGGCTACCTTCATTTTTTTATATGTAGTTTTCAACCTTTTGCATCTAGAGTTACAATGAATTTGGAAAATATATTCATCCCATTGCGGATCGGAGAACACTGCATAAACCAAGTGTCTCGTCCTAGAGTGAACAGTCTATTTAAGAACTCAGGCAGCGTATCCGTTTAATTGTTTAAGATAGCCGTTGGAACAATGTGATATTTTCGACTTAATAAACAATTTTTGTCATATAGATAAACATATTATTTTTAAAGTGAGTTATTAGAAAGGCAGTCAGAAAATTTTCAAATATGTTATTGTTTCATGTTGATACACATTTTTAAAACCCATATTTACTGTTTCTCAGTAGTTTTAAGAGAAGTCACTTAACCATAAACATGTTGCATCAATGCAACATCAGTTTAAAAACTATTAATAATGGACATTTAATAATCATGTACCAACAAATCACTTTTCATTTTAGAACAAAAATGTACGAAACGTTGGAAAAGCCTGCGCGACAAGTTCGCCCGCGAGATGAAACTATGTCAGGAATCGCGCTGGCGTTACTTCAAGCAGATGCAATTCCTGGTTGACTCCATCCGGCAGTACCGAGAGTCGCTGCTCGGCAAGTGCGCCAATGGGAGTCAAAACGCCAACCAGGTGGCCGATCCGTCGCAGCAGCAGCAGGCGCAGCAACAGACCGTCGTTGATATATTTGCACAGCCTTTCAATGGCAGCGCCACAACCTCAGCCCAGGCACTGACCCATCCGCATGGTAGGTGAACCAGCATTTAAGCACCTGAGATATCCGCTAATTACTTCGGTCTCTTACAGAAATTACGGTCACCAGTGATGCACAGCTGGCCACTGCCGTGGGCAAGGACCAAAAGCCATACTTCTACGAGCCGCCGCTCAAACGCGAGCGCAGCGAGGAGGAGCACAGCGACAACATGCTCAACACCATCAAGATTTTCCAAAACAATGTCTCGCAGGCGGTCAGCGCGGAGGATCAGTCGTTTGGCATGGTAGTCACGGACATGCTTAACACGCTGGGCGTGCGACAAAAGGCCGAGGCGAAGGTGCACATCATTAAGTATCTGACTGACATGCAGCTTTTGGCACAGCACAACAAGTACTAACTGTCGGGCGGCTGTCACAGGCAGCTGCTGCAGCTGCTCCAACTGGAGAGCGTTTTGCCCTGAGATCAAACGAGATGGACCCACGGCCAGCCACATCTACACGGGCTTGGGGTCGTGTACGGTCATTTTCTTTAGTTCATAGGTCTTAAAGTCAAACTACAGATTAACATTAGACGTAACTGCCCACTGCGTATACCATAACGCGTAATGATACTTCCCCAAGCCCACACGTAGACAAACATATATATTTATATGCTTAGTTGGCCCAATGATCGGTGATTTAATTCGCGCCCAGTTCTCAGCTCTGTACAAAAAAAATGCGATTGAAAATAGCGATTCTAGAATTATGTAGCCTGTTAAAAGACCGTGGAAACACTTTATATGCAGCGTATTGTACATTTTGACGACGATTTAGTTGTAATTTGCCATCGGGTCTTAGCTCTACAATTAAGTACACACGTAAAAGTTATTTTAATTTTATAAGTTCTGTTGTAATATGCTGAAAACTCTTGAAAGATACTTTGAAATACTTTAGTTAAGTGTTACAGAGGGAAACATAAAACACATTTTTTCACAATGAGCGCATATTACACACTTTACATTGATAAAATCGAAATAGTTGCCGGCAACGTCAGTTGCGAAACATTTTCAATGATTAATTGTGCAATTATTTGGTATTAAATGAAACATTTAAATGAGACCGACTAGTTTCAATCGGGGTGATATGGCAACGCCGCGAACCAGCGGCATAAACAGAATCAGCTGTTCGGACTAAGGATTGATTTTATGTAATTGAAATGGCCACGAAATCGGATAATGCTGACTTAAAATCAAATAAATCAGTGGAATCAGTAGATGACGTATGGGCTGTAAGTATCCAGCTACGTTTACGGATCCGAGACTTAGGAATCCCTTTACAGATACGCCCCTGTCATCTGTACAAGGAGGAGTACGACGACTGCACAAGCTTTAAGGCGCGCTTCCACCAGTACTTTGTATTTGGAAAGGACACAGATTGCTCTCAGTGGCTAACTGATTACCAGAACTGCGAACGTTATCAGCAGTCCAACGGCAACGATGTGGATGCCGGAAAAGCGGTGATCAAAAGCGAGGAGGAGCGTCGCAAGATTCGCCTACGAGCCCACTTCGCCAACGACACTTGGCAGAAGCGAAAGGAGCCACCGCAGGATTGGGCTGCTCCTCTGCCGGAGTGGATGGAGAAACGAAATGAGAATACCTATCTTGAGCTTAAGCAAAAAGAGCTGTCTGGTCAGGCGGCGCCACAAGGAGAGGAGCGCTCTCTGTGTACGGTCATGTGAAGATAATAATAAAAATGTAAATTATTAATTAAGAAAAGAAGGAAGCTGTTTCACTATCCTTTAAAGATTCCAGCTCGTAAACAATGGTTTTAAATAATCGGCGGTCTGGCAGCGCTCGTATCAGCTGTATTCTTTCGGGCAGAGCTGCTCCATTCAGCTAAATATATGCAGCTGATACGCCATTAAAACTAAAGTAAATATATTTTTAAACTTAAAAGTTTCATCAAACCGTTAAGTGAAAAACAATTCCTAAAATTCCTTAGCTTCAAAAGAGTCCAGGTATTAGGATTACGAACCATATAATTTGTTTACACTTTAAAATTTGTGAGCAATGCTAAACGGTGGAAAAGCAGTACTGCTGAGAATAGATAAATCTAGCTACAAAATAGCTAAATTGACGACACATTTGTGGTGATACTTCAGATACTGGCTGATATACCTACCTATTCCGCATCCGCAACCCGACGCTCCAGCTTTGCCTAAAATGCTAAAGGGTAGCACATTGAAAGCCCTGGACGTCAGAATCCTACGGCCCCTTATTGAAACAAGGTCAGCAGGTAAATGTGAATTACATAACCCGAGGCCGACTCCAAAACCGTAACATTCCGGCAACAAAATTGATCGTGACACTCAGATTGCTCTTATCCTGTTGCAGCGGAGGACAGCAGCGCAGTTTCTCCAGCAGCATCCACCGGTCCTACATAACATTCAATGATTTCCGCAAAAAACACCGCTGGTACACTAAGAAGGAGCTTGTGGGGTAAGTGAAATGCGCCCTTGGTGAAATCATTTCTCAGGTATCGTCTACTGTAGGTACTCCATGCAGGACATGTACAGCGTGGTTTCCGACGTCAGCAATTACCACAAGTTCGTGCCGTATGTGAAGCGCTCCGATGTCCACAGCCACGAAAGTGGAGGCTTCAAAGCTGACCTTATCGTCGGCTTTCCGCCGCTTAACGAGGCATACACCTCGCAGGTGACCCTAGTGCCGCCCAGTTTGGTTAAATCTGAATGCCACGATGGACGCCTGTTTAACTACCTGCTGAATGAGTGGTCTTTTAAGCCGGGCCTCAAGGACATACCTAACTCTTGCGTGCTGGACTTCAAGGTCTCCTTCGAATTCAAGTCTCTCCTGCACAGCAACGTCGCCAACATATTTTTTGACCTTATCTGCGATCAAATGGAAAACGCTTTCATCCAGGAGGTGCGTCGACGGAGTGGTCCGCCCTCAATTCGCTCCCACGTGCTCACTTCGGAGCGGTCCTGACCAGATGATTTGCGCGGATGTAGTTTCATTAGTGATATAAGTTAAAGTTGTGTACGTTGCGTTGACAAACCTCTTTGCTAGTACAATTAACAAAATTGTAAATAAATTCTCTATCAATTTGTGTATAAACGAACACCAACGAATATCTGTGAACGGTCCACAAAAAATGTACAGACAAATGACACAGACGAGTGCAAAGAACATAAATTAAGTACTTTAATTTGGTTCACTTAACATAATATTGAAAATCAAATATTTTCGTTAACAGTCTCGTTTTGGGATTAGTAGTGGGACACACATAAATGATACGAAGATTATATTCCAAAGGGTATATTTCTTTGCTTAATTGACGGCCTCTCGGCGATGTTGAAAACTTAGGATTTAAAATAAAATTACGTTTGGAATGGCATCGTTTAGGTGGCGAGAAGTACACAATATTCTTGAGTGGCATACACTACAATACATTACATTACAGGCTTATCATATACAAGTCGTTATTATCGTGCATCGTTATTTGGGTTCGGGGCAGTTAGTATTAAGTGGGAACGCTACTTTTACCTCTACACGGGAGGCTAAATACAAGAGTCTACGATTGTATCTAACAGATACCAACTACGTTCTACATCTAGCACGCTAAGCTCTATATTACTTTATACAGGGAAGTGTAATTTTAAACTCTACTTTGTTTGCGCAGTAAAAAATCTAACTAAAACGGTCAGTGTCTAAATATTCATTTAAAGTATTGTTCAGAGGGCTCGCGTGCATCTCCTCTTGGGCAAACAATTAATCTTTCAATAGGTGACTAACAAATTTTTGTAGACGAGGCCAACAACTGATAATGCAATCAAAGGTAAAGGTACAACAGCTTAACACTAAGCGCCCAGATAGACAAGCTAAATAAGGACTTCAGCACACATACGAGGGCGGAAATAACACAATAGAAACACGAAACTATTTCATTTGGTGCAACCATTTTGAATGGTTAAGCACAATACGTAAGCCCTAAAAAATATCACTTTTTCGACGGCGATAGACCGCCAGTTTCTTTAGTTCTCAGTTGTGCTTTGCCCGACGACCAAACATATAGCCCTTCCAGCGTTCCGCAGTTTGTGCAATTAGTGGATCGCTGTCGATGGTGGCAAGCAGAAGTAACTGGTTCACGTGCGTTGCATGGTAGTCCCAGCGCGCCAGGTTAGGAGCCACGCCCAAGCTCAGATGGCGCAGGTCGTAGCTGGTGCCGGAGCCAGTGTCGAAAAGCAACAGCATCTTTTTAAGCGAGTACATGCCCTGAGCGAAAAGCTTTCCAGCCTCGCGGGCGATTTTGCCTGGGGCTGTACTGTTGAGATCGTAGAGACCCAGTAGTGAATATATAAAGCCGTTCAGCACATAGGAGGGTGGCGTGGTGGGGTACTCCTCGTACCTGAAAAAGCCGAACAAATTTCGATTATAAATACATTCAATTTTTAAGTGGTTTTAAGCAAAGCGATCTTGTACTCACCAGTAAAACTTGTCCATGAACTGCGCCAGAACGCCGCCGTCCCGCGAGTATACCCTATAAGGCTGCAGTCCGGCTGCGGCGGCTCGAAGGTAGCGTTCATCTCCGCCGGAATGCCAGTAGGCTCGTGCCAGCACAGAAATTGCATGCCCCTGACCCATGGCTGATATCCACCCCGGGCGCAGTTCGACAAAGCCGTTAAGGCTACGACGCACAGGATTGGTCCAACCACCAGTCTTAGGGTCCTGGTTGTGGACGAACCACTCAGCCGCGTCGTAAAAGTGAGCCAGATGGTCACTGGTGGACAAGGTGATATTGTCGAAAAAGCCTAGGCCCAAAAAGCCAATAGATATAACCTCCAGATCGGAGCGGCGTACCTTTAGCGGCGAGCGTTTGTCACCCAGGATGCCCTTCTGGAGGTCGATGTGCAGGTCTCGGGTGATGTGGCGCCACTTGTTCAGTGCCGAGCCTCCCAGACCATAGTAGATGTTTGTATCCTGCACGCTCAGCAGCAGGTCTGCGGGTATGTAGTGCAGGCTGTAGATGTGACGGGTGTCCCGATTCTGGACGGTGATCATGAGACTACTGCTATTGGTTACCAGCAGCAGATCAACGCTGAGCAAAAGGTCCAACGTCTGGTTGAGAGCAATGGTGATGACGCCCTCGTAACCAGGTGCCGTCTCGAACTGGACAACGCTGGTGTTAAACTTATGGTGCCAGATGCGGGTCATGTTGCTGGTCTTGGGCGTAGTCCATTCCATTTGGTTAACGTCGCCGTCCTCCAACACACGGACCCTAGGCGCCGGCTCTGTGAGGTTCTTGCTGTAGTGCGACAGCGCAAACTGGGCAATCTGCGTGGGGTAAAAGTATCCACGCTTCTCCCATTGCGTACTCACTGGAACGCCCTCGGCGGCGCTGATGCACTTCACCCGGTCGCGCACCTCCACGTTGTAGTTTTCAAAGTACATAAAGACGCCGCGCGCATCATACTTTCCCCTGGGTAGGTTAACCTTGGCTGTGCTGTGCATCCAGTTGAACTTGGCCACCTCATTGCTGTTGGTGGAAACTGCTCCACTGACGTCGAAGTAGTTACGCAGGAAGGAAAACGGTACGTACACCTCGTTTTCGTTCTCGTCTCGCTTGCAGTGCACGGTGTACTCCTGGTTAATGGAGCACTCAATGTCGTGCAGCGCTGTAGCCTCTCCTCCACTGGAGGACTGCTTTGAGGCTCGGTCCAGAGGGCGCACCAAGTCAGGCGAAAAGGAGAAGGCGGCGCAGCGCATATATACGCCCAGAGTGATCACCACCACAGCCACTGTGAGAACGAGCAGCACGGCTTTTAGGTTCAGTCGCATGATGATAAAGACCAGTGGCTCGCGTTGCTAAAGAATTCAGGTACTAAGATTAGCCAGCTGAGCTGCAGGAAGAAATAGACATTGTTACCTTGACTCCCTGGGATTTTGGTAGCTCCCGGTTTTCCCTGCTTACTGGGAGCGCGGGTGCGGAAATGGCATCTCTCTGACTGCTTAGATATTTGGACATCCGGTTGAGGGCGGGCTCTCTAACTGTTTCCCAGGTGAGTCATGCTCTAAATATAAAACTGCGTTCATGTGGCAGTTGCATTGCTGACAAAATGACAATGGTGCCCCAGTGCGCGTATGTTTCCTTCACTACTTCTGAGGATAAAATTCCACCTGCCGAGCATGTAGCCTCTTGTGTTCAGTCGTAGGCCATCCAACGTCGATCTTTCAAGTGCATCCAGTGCTCCCCAATCATATTTTGCTTAGATTTGTACTGGTTTTCTCGCTTTTTTGCTCGGCGAACCACTGCGAAAACACAGAAACTACGATACAGATGAGCAAATGTTTTGACATATGGACAAATGGTCGCTCTTGGGCGGCCTATGCACGGTATTCTATCGATAACAAGCTACTTAAATCTGTAGCTTAAAGATTTAAAAAATTGTTTTGAATTATTCAGTTAAGATTTACTTGGTGTCAATTTGTGTTTAAAAAGTTTTATATTCATTTAGTTAAAAATGAAGTATTATTTATAAATTCAATGGTATTTCCAAATGGTCACATACGCACGCTGACGACTATCGACGAACCGATAGCATACACACCACGGCGATTAATCAATAGTGCAATGTTTACAAAATAATTCAGGTTGATGTTGCTCTGAAGGCGCGTTTAACTAGTTTTAATCATGTCTAGTCGTAGCTTTAGTGCAATAGTCCTGTTCCTTGGGGCGTTGGTGGCCGCCTGCGACGCTTCCAATGGGGACCGCACACAGTTTTTTCACAACTGTCGACAGAACTGCGAGCGAACAAACTGCTCAGCTGGTAAGGACAGCTCTTCTCTTTACTTGAAAATCCTTACAAGCACGCTTCCCTTGGCAGATGGGCTGGAGATCCAGGAGCAGGCTGTCAAGTTTTATCAACAGTCAGTGTTCGACCGGCTCTTCCAGTGGAGCTGCGCGGACGAGTGTCAGTATGGATGCATGTGGCGAACGGTGCTAGCCTTCTTCGAGCGCGGTTGGCCAATTCCGCAGTTCTACGGCAAGTGGCCCTTTCTTCGCCTGCTGGGCATGCAGGAGCCGGCCTCGGTTATCTTCTCCTGCCTTAATTTTGTTGTTCACCTGCGTATGTTGCGCAAGTTTCGTCGAGAAGTGCGTCCAGACAGTCCTTGCTATATGCTGACCCACATATTCGCAGTTGTAGGCCTTAATTTACATGAGGAGCACAAACGGACGTTTTACTAAGTTAATTTTTACTCTCCCAGACAAACCTCAACGGCTGGACCTGGTCCGCTATCTTTCACACAAGGGACTTTCCACTGACCGAGCTGCTGGACTACGCCTTTGCCTACTCCATCATCTTGTGCTCACTTTACAGTATGGTCATGCGGATGCTGCACCGCTACTCGCTGTTCCTGCGTGGTGTGATTTCACTGGCCTTCCTCTCCTATTACATCAACTACTTTGCCTATCTGAGCGTAGGGCGGTTTAATTATGCATTCAACATGATGGTAAACGTGGCCACTGGAGTAATAGCGGCAGTAGGATGGTTCGTTTGGTGTCACTTCGTGCGTACCCGAAGGCCCTACTTTAGAAGGATCCTGCGTTTCTATATTCTCATGGCGCTGGCCATGAGCCTTGAACTGCTTGACTTTCCGCCCATCCTCTGGATTCTAGATGCTCATGCTCTGTGGCACTTGGCAACAGTTCCTCTAGCATCCCTCTACTATGAGTGCGTAAAGACTGTACTTTTCCTCAATTTGGTTACATGTGTTTATATTTCAGCTTTATGATAGAGGACTGTCGAACCCTGCGAAAGGAGAAGGCTGCGGCGGGCGGCTATTCATTCTACAATTAGTATTATTTGACATTCTGAGCCCAGAACGTACAGAAAACTGTCTGGCGGCTTTACTGACTTATTTTTTATAGAATTTGTAACAAAGTGAAAACAAATGTTTAGCATTTTATTGAAAGTCAAAACGAAAGTCGCCTTTGACAGTAGGAAAACTAATAGCTTCGTTTAAAAAGACATAATAGAGACTTTATTACAACATTTATAACTCCTCGCTACATTTGCCCGCACTGCGAAATGGTCACTGGGAGTTTCGGCTTGTTATTGGGGCCCGTGGGCACGTTCTCGATCTTACGCATAATGAGCAGACCATCAAGGACGCGACCGAATACCACGTGTTTGCCGTCTAAAAAGTTGCACTTGGCGCAGGTGATAAAGAACTGGCAGCCGTTGGTCTCCTTGCCACTGTTTGCCATGGAAAGGAGTCCGGGCGAGTCGTGCTTCAGGGTGAAATTCTCGTCGCCGAATGTGTTGCCGTATATGCTGGTTACGCCGGTGCCGTCGCCCTGCACAAAATCGCCGCCTTGGATCATGAAGTCCTTGATCACTCGATGGAAACTGGCGCCTTTGTAGCCAATGGGAACGCCATCCGGTCGGTACTCGCCGGTGCAGAACTGTCGGAAGTTTTCCGCCGTGCGGGGCACTGTGTCCGCAAAGAGTTCGAATATCATTCGACCGATTTCCTGCAAATAAAAGGCGAAAGATCGAGGTTTATTTAATGATTATGATGGGATTGCTTTAACTTCACCGTTGTGCCTACGGCAATGTCGAAAAAAACGACCGGATTGTTGGAGTGTCTCAGTTGGGACTGTATTTGATTCCAGTTAGGCATTTTAAACTTTAATTATTTGTTTATACACTTTTATCAAGTAAGGACTAAGAAGTATTTCTAAGCCGGCAGATTTTTGTTTATGTTTTTACGATGGCTCGATGACGATTGGTCACAACACACGACAAATCGATAGAATAAAAAGCCAGCCATATCGATAGCACACGTGTGCCGAGTGTTTGTTTATATTTTTCTGTGCTTAAATTGACAAAACTATTTTTAAAATACTTATAAAGGTGAGTTTATATATGATTGGATTGGCAAAATTAATTGGTACAGTGCAGCATTGGTTTCCGCCAGAAAGTTATAATAATATTGTTGGACATTATTTGTCATTAAAAATATTTGTTTATTTACAATATATTGGCAAGTTACCATCCTGTTCAAGAACTCTAAAATATGCATACTTACTTACCATACATATGTCTTCGTCCGATCGGCAGGATTTTTCCCCTCATTAGGATAGGCGTATTTAAATAATACGATTTACATTTCCACGCCTAAAATCATTTATGAAACATAAACTGAATGAGACAAAAACAAAAAGATCGCATATTGAACATACATATATGCACATAGTTTGGCTGTATGTATGTATGCACATACATACATATGTACAAAAGTGGGTGATAGTAAAAACAAACTTATTTTAATATATACAGTTACGGTCAAAATAATAGTAGTACCGGTGAAGCAACACGTTATTTCTTATAATTTCTTCTATTCCTTAAAATACTTTTTAAAATTTTTTTACATAAGTAACTGTAATTCTCTATTCTCTTCGAATATAGACTTTTGTTCGGTTCTCTTCTTGTTTTACATTCTTTTTCGCCTTTAATTGCAAGGACTCACTAGTTTGACTCAGTCAAAATAATAGTGTCAGATAAATTGACAAGAATAATTAAATATAATCGCTTTTTAGCCATGTTATTGGTATTTTATAATACTCTTAGGTGTTTCTTAACAGTTCCCACCGTTATTAGACTCTTTATTAATATTAAGTATTAAGTCCAAGGGGCGTGGCAAACACTGTACTGCCGAGAGGCGGAAACTCCTTAAAAAACTGATTTCTACTGGACATAAGTCTATGTTGAAGAGCAAAATATAATCGGATGCTATTAGAAGCTATCACATATGAACCAGCTAATAATACTCGTGGTCGGGCCAAGTTAGGCCAAGTGACCAAAAAGTCACTTAGCAGGAGAGGCAAGAATCGAGCCTTTCGCGTCTCCTGTAGTACTAAAAAAAGTTTTAATCTTAATGTTAGTTTGGAAACAATAAGAAGACGCAACCTCATTAAAAACCTCATTTCAAGAAGTCCAAAAAAAGTGCCTTAAATGACCACTTTAATTGGCATTTGGAGAAGTGGAGGAATATTTTGTGGTCGGATGATTCCAAGATATTTTTGATTAGAGGCCATGGTAGGCTCTTTGCAGTTCGTTAGACGACCACCCTCATGTGCTTTTTCTCCGAAATGCACCTTAAGAACGGTTAAGCACGGTGGTTCATCGATAATGATTTGAGCGAGTTTTTCGTATTATGGAGTTGGACCCAGTGTATTGGGCCAAAAGCATTATGGACCATTATTTATATATCAAAATTTAAAAACGACATGATGCTCCCGAGGACATTCCACTTGCTTGAACGTTCCAACAGGACAATGAACCAAAGCATAAACCAAGTAAACTCGCCAAAGAGTGGTTCGCAGCCAATCAAGTTGATATCATGAAGTAGCCCGCACAGTCACCCGATCTCTATTCAATTGAGAATTTTTGGTGTGAATTAAAGAGCAATCTCAGAAATAAATCCGAGCAATAGCTTTGAACTCAGGGAAGCTGTACAAAGGTCTTGGAACTCTATTCCTGTGAAGAGATGCCAGAATTTGGTTGATTCCATGCATAAGCGCGTCCATTATGCAAACAAAAGGTATTTAATAAAATACTAAAATAAACATTAAATATAGCGGAATTACATAGAATTAATTATTTAAACATAAAATGATTTATTTGGCTGTGATGCTGTTTGAAAAAATGCACTACTATTATTTTGACCGATCAAATTTAGGTCCAATTTCACATTTTCATTTCTTTCTGAAAAGTTTTATGAATTATCCAAATTCAATTTTCATTATTATCACCTACTATGAGGTAAGTTTCATAAACAACAATTTTGTGAACACGTTTTGAAATGTGTTTTTTTTTAATTGTTTGAAAACCTCTATGGGCACTACTATTATTTTGACTGCAGCAGTACATATGTACATACATTTTACACACAGATTTAAAATAAACCAAGGATTGGAATAGGCTCTTTGGCACGGTTTCCTTAATTAGACTCTCTGGTGATCAATGATGAAATATGATAAACATTTCACACTGAGCAGAAGGTTTATTGACTGAAACAAATTTACGGGAGTATTGTACAGAAGTCGTACGTTCGAAAGGAAATCACGACCCACGATGTGCTTTGATAACCATAGTGCAGGGTAGATGTATGTGGGGTATGTATCTCGGGGATCTCTCCCATTGAGTTCATGTGGGTAAACCTGTAATAAAAATAACATGGTTTAAAAAACATAGGATTGTCATTATAAGACACGTGATACGTTTTCCGTTGGATAATGTTTGTATTTTTTTAATAGAAACTTGCATAAAAAATGCCGAGATAATGTTTATAAATAAGTGCTTTTGTTCATGATAGTAACTTAAGGTAGGTACAAGATATAAGCAGTTACAAAAGAGTCTATCCTTTAATTACATTATATTCAGCAACAACTAAGGACCTAAAAATACATAAATGGATGTTCTTAAATTCAAACTGAGCAATGTTAGTCGGTAGACGATTGGTTCATGCCTCATTTCAGCTCGACAATTAATACTAGGTAGAGGTAAATCCGCAAAATCCCTTTAGGGTCGACGCTCAGTTACTCGCCTCGTCCGTATCCACGTCGGATATATCTTTGAGTTTTACGTTGCCATTGCTGTTGTTCCTATCATTGTCATCCGCCGCCTTTTGGAAGTTCTCCTGAAGAGTTTTAGGATCCACGACCAGGATGGGTGTGCACCCATCCATTAAATGTTCGCTCTGGCTCTGGTACTGCTCCCGCGAGATGCTGCGCGTAAAGGAGAAGCGCAACGACTTTGTCCTGGTCAGCCTCTTTTTGATGGGTGGCTTGCCCGCCACTGGGGCCACTGGCTCTGAGCTCGTGCGCTCTGAGCCTTCCGGCGTTGTCGGCACGGAGCTGGACTCCAACTGGTGGTCCCGCAGTATTTCCTCGGCAAAGCACTTTATTTGGGTCCAAGCTTCCAGGATGTCCTTCTCAGTGGCGTGCTCATAGGTGACGCAGAAGCGGATAACGTAGCGGCCGTTGAACTTGGCCGGCGTCATGTGCATCTTGCCCGAGTGGTTGATCTGTGCGAGCAGCATGTGGTTGGGCTCGTCACCAGTTCTGTAGAGAAGATTGAGAGAACCATTAAAGCCCAGCATTCAGATATAGTCGAAGCAGAGCTTCTTTCTTCAGTTCGGTAGTAATTATTTTAATGGCTTAAAAACCTACCGCATTCTGAAGCAAACTAGGCCAAGGTGAACGTCGTTCCGGACCTCAAATCGTTCATCCTTGCGGACAAGCATCTCAAACTTCTTGGCCAACGCCATGTGATTTCGAATGTATTCCTGTAGGCCTCGAATGCCGTATGTCCGGAAGACGAACCACAGCTTGAGCGCCCGGAACCGGCGACTCAGGGGAATGCCGTAGTGGCGGTAGTCAACTCCGGTCAAGTGCTCGTGTCGTAGGTAGAGTGGATTCACGTTGAGCGCGCTCTTAAGGTTCATCACATCCCGCACCCACAGGGCAGAGGCATCGAAGTTCGTCAGCAGGAGCTTGTTGGGATTTGTGTTAAAGGAGTCGGCGTATTCGAGTCCGGCGGAAAAGACACGCATCTCGGGCAGAATGAAGGAGTTTCCCGCGTAGGCGCCGTCTACGTGCAGCCAAATGCTCGACACCTGGCGGCATACCTTTCCGATCTCCGTGATGTCGTCGAAAGCACAGCCGCCGGTGGTACCCACAGTGGCCACTACAAAGAAGGGTGTCAAACCGGCGTTCACATCGTTTTGAATTGCTTGGCGCAGTAGGTCAACGCGCATGCGTCCATGCTCGTCGGCATCGATGATCCGGAGCTTCACCAGGGCCATCTTGGTGGCCTTTTCCACGGAGGAGTGTGCCTCGCGGCTGGCGTAGGCGATCAGGCTGGGCAGGAAAACGCTGTCGTGAACGCTGGTCTGACCCTTTAGCTCGCTGATGGCTCGTGCGCGGGCTGCGATTAGAGAGACGAGAACGCACTCCGAGGCGGATCCCTGGAGGGCGCCGCCGCCTGTGCTGCCTGGAGCATCTGAAACGAAGGCCTTGGGCAAACCGAGGGCCTTGGCGTACCAGTTCATCACGATCGTCTCCAGCTCGGCAGCCGCCGGACAGCTGGCCCAGCTGAAGCCAATTGAGCCAATGGCACTGCTTAGCATGTCGCCTAGGACCGAGGGGAAAGAGTTGCCGGATGGGAAGTAGGCGAAGAACTTGGGGTGGTTCCAGTGCACCACGCCCGGCATTATCTTCTGCTCGAAGTCCTCGAGCACGTCCTTGAACGGCTCCGGCGACTGGGGAGCGTCGGCTGAAGATAGAGATAAACAGGCAGTCGGGGATTAGTGGGATGGGCCTTAAATATTTCGTTTATCACCCATAAATTTGGGGGGCCAGCAAAGGCAGTATTTATGGCGAGTCTGTTGTTTTTGGCAGTGAGTAGAAAGATCAACAAGTAAGTCTATACGCAAGGTGTGTGTTTGCGTATGCATAATTAATTGATTTGTTTAGTTGAACTCGGGATTGCGGCGTCCATTCGGGCGTAAATATTTAACTTAGCCAACTGCGCGGAATTCGACTGAAATTCGCCAGCGAAACCTACTCTCCAACCTGCCAGCCTCGGAGGTGGCCGGAGATCGAAGATCGGAGAGATGGCTGTCGAGTGTGCCCCAATTATGCCGGAACCCTCCCACGCACCTCATTGCGGGGCACTTGAGTCCGTGGGCTGGGGATTTTTGAATAGTTTACACTCGCACATTATTCACATGACTCTTCGGCAGCGAGGAAAACAATTAGTCAACATGATTTAACAAGTTTTTGAGTTGATTGTTGCTCTGGTCTTTCTTTGATTATTTTGCGCAAACGAAATATTTTCGGATTCATTGCTAATTTGTTTGGGCATAGTTAACAAATTAGTGTATACAATTTAGTGATAAATTGCTATAATTTAACTGTTTCGTTTTGGTTTTAAATAGAATTCGACAAAAACAATCATACGTAAAAAAATTCGGCTAAAAAAGCTAAAGTTTTTTCTAATGATAGCATATAGAGTATTCAACATGGGGTTTTTTTCCTGAATATACAGGGGACTTGGAAACTTTATGCAACGCCTGGGTGTAAATTCCAAAGCGAACGTCAGAACGACTTTTTAATATGTATTTTATTATTATTTATATATATATTATTATACTATTATTATTATTATATTATATTTATATAAAATATTATATATTATAAGTCATTTCTGGTTCGATCGCATATATGTCCAACCCTATTTATTTAAATTTGACACATAATAACTAAATAACTTCGACGTATATATCTCTAACTTTCGTCGGGTCTTTGATTTTTTCACACTTTTTCTTATTGCATGCTCACCTGGTAGCAGTTTTTTGAGGTAACCCGGATCCAAGGTGGGCGCCACATCACGCTCCTCTATGTTAGTGCCATATTGGCATATATAATCAATCACTTCCTTGCCGTATTTGCGAAACTCTTCCACATCCATTTTGACCAATTTACACTTTTCCCTTATCTTGCTCAAATAATGCAGTCTATTAAGAACTATTCCTTGGTGCTTGTATCTTTAGTGCTCGGGTCTAGCACTTGGGTCTAACACGGTACACAGTAGCTTGATCTCGATCACTTTCGAATCCCGGTTATCACGCACCGCACACTCGTTGCAGCTCAGCTTCCTTGACGCGAGTGTCTTGGCCACTGCGCTGCAATCGTTTTTATATGGCAACAGACCGATCTCCCGACCGCACGATCGGCTACTCTCGGCTACTCTCGGCCTCTCTCTGTGCTCGGATATATCCCCTTCTTACACCTGTGAGGTGTTCGTACTGACGTTGATTGTCTCGTGATCGCACTCAAATTACTGGCCGGAGATTCGGATCGGACTCCGTTTGGCTGGGAAACCCGCTTTGGTCATTATGGGCACATCTCTCGTTCTGCTCTCGCGTCGGGCGGAGCATTGTCTCGCTAGACGAAAAAGTCCCTGGGGATTGCTACTTTTGGCTTAATTATATTGTGAGTTCAATTTGAAGGGTGATTGAGTAACAAATGGTGGTTTTCTACGAATGTATGGTCAAATTATTAATTATAATTCCCAAAGTAGTTTGTTATTTAATATTCTGAGCATTATTTATTTATGAAAGTCATAAATAGTTATTATACCCGTTATACTCGTAGAGTAAAAGGGTATACTAGATTCGTTGAAAAGTCTGTCACATGCAGAAGGAAACGTTTCCGACCATATAAATATTCTTGATCAGGATCAATAGCCGAGTCGATCTGGCCATGTTCGGCTGTCCGTCCGTACGAACGTCGAGATCTTAGGAACTGTAAAAGCTAAACAAGTTGAGATTAGTCATGCAGATTCCAGAGCACATATACCGTGCGCTAGTTTCTTAAATCATGTCTCAAAACTGCCACACCCACACTTTTGAAAAAATTTTAAAATTTTTTGAATTTTTTTATTTCTTTTTTTTTTTTTTAAATTAAATGAAGTAATTTCTCCTTTACACTTCCACTAGCTGAGTAATGGGTATCTGCCAGTCGGGAAACTTCACTATAGCCATTCTATCTTGTTTTAATCTAGCATATATCAATATGTTCGAACTATGTGTATTTTTGAAAGCTAGTAATGCTAAGCTATATTGAAAAACTGAAATACTATCTCACACATTATTTTTATGACATTTAAATTGGCTTCGAATGTGAATATTCTGACACGCATGGCTCTTCGGGGAACTTTTGGGGGTTTTAGGGAATTTCCGAAATTTGCCGCAAATCCGGCACGTCCAAACAGAGTGCAAAGAGCCCGTGAAAGAGAACAAACTTGTTCCCCCTAATCTCTTGAGGAAATACCGAAACTTTCCGTGGCTTATGGCAGCTAGTGGGGAACCACTTCAAGTACAAAAAAAAAAAAAAAAAAAATGGCCAACAAGTGTCCAAACATTGACCAAATCCGTTAGCAGAAAGTCGGATGTACGAACGACCAACACTGCCAAAAGGCCGAACTGATGACGTAGCTGTGAAGAGTGCCCATTGTTTCATGGAATCTCCTGCTAGGTGAAATACAAAAACACTAATATCAAAATAAACAAACGTTGCCAGATGAAAATCACCGATTTGTTCAGGTTGCGAGGCGCGGGAACTTGGAAGATAATGGGTGTAGGTGGGCAGACACGAACGAATGAATGAACGAATGTTGTCAGAGTCAGCATGAGGTCCCCGCAATTCGGTTGGGTGCTAATTGCCGAGTGCTTATCTAACTCAGCCCTGTAATGATCTAACGCTAGCCATACTTACTTTCCAGTCCGTATGTTTAATGGTTCTGGGACCACAATCTACTCAAAAGGGTTAGATGTAACTTGGGAACACAGTTTAAATATCATATTATTATTATCGTAGGGAGTGCCTTTTCAATTAAATAATTACCAAAGACTTGGATCTATTAGGAACAACCAAATTACAATATATTCAATACCCCTCCAAGGCTAACTTCCTGCTATTATCTTGGACTTTCTGTTGGAAAATTGTCCCAATCCGACCACTGTAAAGGCTGAACCCATCTTTGAAAGCCATGGCTGACTCACTCGGCGCACGCGTCGCCGCCTTGAAGCGACGTTCGGTGGGTGCAGAGTCCGCAGCGAGAGATTCGGAGACCGCGGGACAGAGATCGCCTGAACACGGTGACTTCGCGTATTTCTCTGCTCCTCTTTCTGGGCCTGAGCTTCGCCTGAACTTTCATTCACAGGTCCAGACACCGCGGATGACGTCGTGCATCTAAATATAAATTCGTATTCAGTTTACGCGGTCACACTTCGAAATGCTCGAGGGCCGTTGCCATCATCCAACGAATCCATCCATCCGCCTTCTGATGCTGCTTCTGCTGAAACCCGGCTGTGTGTTTGGATGTGTGTTTGGAGCGCGGCTAACGCTTTTGTTGTCCAACCATTAATTATGGCAGTTGGCACAGTCGGCACTGCCAGACACCGATCGAAATTCCCATGATGCCGTGATACAGTCGAGCATCCCCAACTTCAACTGTATGAAATTTGGGAAGACCTCGGATATTGCAAGTTATTGGAATCATGTACGGTTCAAGGTGTTGGGGCCTAAGATATTGAACGTATTTTTAGTGGGGAAGATTGATTTAAAGACTCCATCTGTTCGAGGGCTGCCTGTAGATTTTGTCCAAAATTTGCATAACCTATGTTTTTTAATTTGATGGTGCGCGTGCTTGGCAATAGCTTACTGCATATGAAGATTTCGTTTATTTTTGACAATTTCGTTTGTTTTGGATTTTGCCAAATCATTCCTTAGGCATTTCATTCATTCTGGTGAGGCATACTAATTTATGGGTACGTGATTTATTTATTGGTTTATTTGGTTGGAGGTGTCAAAGATTGTGACAGATGATACTTTGAATTTTATTGGCGCCATTAGATTATGGTTAAGGTTATTTGGCGATTTAATTCAATGAACCGGTTTCCAAATTTAGATTTCGTGATTCTGTGTAAAAGAGTATAGCTATTCAGGGTACGTTTCATTTCAGTTCTCTTACATCTCTATAGCCTAACCTTATTTTTCATATATAACCATATAAAATATATTTTAGTAACAACTACTTATTTACGCACAATTGCTATGCGATTTGTTCTATGGTGAATTATTACACATTTGTCGTATTCCATAAGCATCCCTAAACAAATCAATTGGCACAGGTATGTCTTCGTGCTCAGCTCCGTGAATGTATTTCAAAAGGCCAATGCCAAGTCAAAACTCGGAGAAAAATCGACTGACTACCCATATAATGAGGTCGTGCAGAATTTGATAAAGAACTGGGAATTGCCAGTCGTCTATCTGAAAAAGCGAGGTTTTCTGCCCAGAAACTACGAGGATGCGTCAAGAATCAAGCCCAACCTGGATGCCCTCATGCAGCGAATAGAAAGAACCAAGCGGGATCACACAAAGGAGATCACCATGAAAGTAAGACCCACAGAAATGTCGAAATCTTTCCCAAGAAATCAACGGTGCTTTCTGTCCTCAACGGGATCCATGCTCTCCAATTTGGAGCAGTTGAAAGCCATTGAAGGCCAGGCAACGAAGTCCAAGTCCAACACCAAGCCAAGTGAGCAGGAGCAACAGCTGCTGGCCATGAAGCGGCGCTTGGAAGAGTTGCAGCAGGGTCTGCCAGGATACCCTAGGCAGATCAAACTAACTCAAAGAGACAAGGACCCAGTGAAGTCATCAAAAAGCTATGATCAAATATTGCAGCGAATGATTGAAAAGACGAGCCCCCACTACACACAGCACTCCAATTCGCATTTAGGAGCCCATCAAAATCAATTAGCCCCAGCTCCAGATGCAAACCAAAAATTTGTTAATGCGCAGATGGGTCCCAAAAAGGACACACCGCTGACTTTGGAGCCCATCGAGTTGAAAGCGTATAGAGCGCACAGTGCACTCCGAAATTTTTTGGATAAATCTGCAGTTGATCTGCCCATATCTAGAGCAGTGGAGACCCTGAAGATCACAGCAAAAATGGAGGCACCTAACTTAGAATCACAGTTGCGCGCGCCCACATTTTTAAATTGGGACATGAAAAAAGGGAGACTGGACCATTACTCAAGGGAGGACAAGGAGGCCTACTTGAACCAGTTGGTGAGAGTGTTCGGCCAAAATATGGATTTCAAGGAGCCCACTCATAAAGGAAATGAGCCGACTGGTTCCTAGAACCACCTTCCCCTTCCCACCAGCGTGCACAAAATGCTTTAAAACATATGAGCTCCGTCCAATGAGTCATAATCCATTTGGAGTCCATGTCCGTACACAGTAAATTTATATATAAATTTCTATTTCCGATTTCATGCCGATCAACAATGATACCACGTCATATCAATGGCATCAGCAAGATGATTTGGATTTCGTTGTTTACCTTGCGCAAGAATGCAAAGATATTTCTGTTTACCATTTGCTAATAGTTAAGCATTTTTTGCTATCAATGTCGATTCAATATAACTTTGCAGTGCAAAGTAGAGTATTTCAGCCTTTTAAGTTATTATTTTGAAATAATATTTATTGCAATTCATAAACAAGAAAGATGTTCGTTTGATATTTCCTCCGTTCTATATAGTTTCAATGTGGGAATTCAGAAGAAGCCTTTTACTGTCGCAACCCACCGCATTGTAGATTGGTTTAGAATTCAACTAGGCGCCTGACTTAAGGAAGCGCTAATACTGTACTATAGTGTTTCCATAAATTGAGTGAATATTATTAGTTGAGGTTGTCCCGCGTGGACGACGCCTTCCGCACCGCCATGGGTGATCGTCGTGGGCATCGCTGCTCCAGTTGCTGCTGCTGGACGTTCACGTAGTCCAACTCGTTTTCCGGAGAGGGGGAGGAGCCAGCTCCGGAGTTTCGACGCGACGACGATGGTCGTACGTTGGTGTCCAGGTGTCGGAAACTGCAAGGAAAGGATGTGGCTTTGAGTTGACACAAAATACTCGTTGAAATCGCCTGATTATTAAAACATCAGTTTGCATTTTTCTCCTCACTATTGGCCTTATAAAATAGTTTCCATAGAAATCATTAGGATTCACATTTTGAATGAAAGATCACTGAAACAAGACTCACCGCAACGAGACGTTGCTGCCCTTTTCCTCGTTGCTGCTGTTGAAGAGGAATGCCAGCGGCCAGGATATCCAAGAGTTGTGGTCCACCGAACTCTGGGTGCGGATAATGGGGGCACTGCCGCGGCTCACTACGGGTGAGGGCAGCTCCATGGATAGCTTGGGTGTGCCGGCCTTGTTGATAGCCGGGTTGTAGATCTTCGGATCGCTGACCATGCGCACGAAGAAGGAGCGCTTCTGAGCCAGCGTGTCCTGCTTCTTGCGGTTCATGATCTCCGACAGCTCATCGTGCTGCTCCTTCTCCAGCAACTCGTTGGCAAAGTCCACGATGATGTCCCAGGCGTAGTCAATGTCTTCCGCGGTCGCGTTCTGGGCCACGGCGCAGAACCTGATGATGTACCGATCGCCCACGCTGGCCGGAACCATGTGGAGCTTGCCGGACTCGTTGATTATGCTCAGCAGCTTCTCATTCAGCTTGTCGGAGCCCTTCAGGCGAAAGCAGACCAGGCCCAGCTAATAGAACCAAGAATGATTTATTTTGGTTCCACAAATCTGGCCAAATGATTAACCAAATTAACAATGAAAAATCAAAATAATTTAAAAATTCTAAAATAATGAAATGACTATGTCTAAAATGTACTTAAAACGCCATTTAAATCAAAAATGTATTTTATATTATTCAATTATCTGGCGAAAATGATGCAAGATACAAAGAAATTCTAACAATTTGCTAGCTTGATTTATTTGTACTCCTCAAAAGTGTAATTGGTTGGAAAACTACAACGTGACTATCTGCAGATCCGCTACCGAATCGATCCCCCAATTGACTTGGCCACGCTTACGCTGAGCAAGTTTGAACATTCATGTGTCAGTCGCTGACTCGATGAATCACTTGTGGCTGTCTCTAAATGATTTTCAATAGCAATTATGCCAAAACACTTCCATTGTCGGGGCGAAAAAGAAATCAATTTTGCGCCAGTTTCTTTGCGGAATTTGGCGTGTAGTTGCGCACGTTTGCTTCGTTGGCTTCGTTTGCACAGCGGTGTGAACAAGTTCACGTCTTTGCCTTAGCTACCAATCCGTTTCCCAACTATTTTTGGGACTTACATGGGCGCCCGGCCCTTGGTCCGCATAATAGACCCACACACCCACCCGCTGGCCTGGGGCAAATGAAAACCCCACACATTTCGTGGGGTGCACAAAAGAGCTTTGAACTCTGAGCATGATTAATTACCGAAAGAAGCCGAGTCGATTGAAAATGAAACTTTAAATATGTACATGCATATATGGAAACGAAACGAAAGCAAACGTATTTCACCTTGACTTGGTTACAGATCTCGAAGCGCTTATCTTTTAGCACGAGCTCTTCGAACCGCTTGGCCAGTTTGATATGGTGACGTATGTAGTGCTGCAGCCCGGAAATCCCATAAGATCGCAGCACGAACCTGAAATCATACAAGTCATTCAGAGGCACACACAGAATGGATAGGGGTAAATAATATTCCTGGTCCATTGGGTGGTCACGATTAGCAATAATCGTTTGTTTGGCGTTCTCATATTTTGGTGTGGACCCATCTCATCTGCGGGATAGATTCGGCACACACGGGGTATCGAAACCCTTGTTTTTACAACTAAATCGCAAGCAAATACACGAGGGCATCATTTGAGTAAACATGCCAACATACTTAACGCCACTCCAGGCCGATCCAAAAACAATTCAATTGTGGACAACAGTCAACAGACCCATTCGCACTTTGCTATCGAGGGCTTTCGGACCCCAAACGCTACATACCACAGCTTCAGCGAACGAAAACGCCGACTGAGTGGAACTCCCCAATGACGATAGTCGATGGCCGCATCCGAGTAGCCGTGCTTCAGGTACAGCGGATCCACCACCAGGGCTGAAGTCAGCCGGATGCGGTCCCGCACCCACAGCGTCGAGCAATCGAAGTTGGTCAGCAGCCATTTGTTGGGATTGGTGTTGAACGAGTCGGCGTACTCGATGCCCTGTGAATGGGATCGGGTCAGATTGGCCGTGCCAATTCCCAATTCCGAGGGAAAGCCACTCACCTTCAGGAGGGGCTTCAGTTCGGGGCAGATGAAGCTGTTGCCCGCGTAGGCGGCATCCACGTGCAACCAGACGCCCGGGAATCGCTGCAGCTGCTTGCCGATCTCCGGCAGATTGTCGAATGCACACGAGCCCGTGGTGCCCAGAGTGGTTGAGACGAAGAATGGCACCAGGCCCTGCAGCTCGTCCTCCTCCATGGCTTCGTAGATCGTCTGGCCGCGCAGGCTGGCGTCGTCGTCGGGCTCCAGGATGCGCAGTTTCACGAAGCAGATCATCGCCGCCTTCTCTACGCAGCTGTGCGCCTCCTTGGAGCAGTAGGCCATCAGCTTGGACAGCAGGTGACCCTCCTCCACGAACGGGTGCTGGGCCTTGAGCCTCTTGAGCGCCTGTGCCCTGGCAGCCAGCATCGTGACCAGCACACATTCCGACGCGGAAGTCTGGAGCCCAAAAATACCCATAGTTAGACACGGACGAGTAATCTTGTTATATTATATGACTATGGCGTTTATAATCTACGTCATCTGCGTGAATATATTACCTGGATGACTCCGCCTCCGGTGCTGCCCTCCTTGAGGGCCAGAAAGTGGTCCGGCAGACCGATGGCCTTGCCCAGCCAGTCGAGCACAATGGTCTCCAGCTCGGTGCAAGCGGGACTGGCGGCCCAGGAGAAGCCGATGCACCCGATCCCGTCGCCCAGCATGTCGCCCAGGATCGAGGGGAACGAGTTGCCCGCCGGAAAGTAGGCGTGGAAGCGCGGATGCTGCCAATGGGTCACGCCGGGCATGATCTTGTCCTCCACGTCCCTCATGATCTGGTCCCAGTCCTCCGGCTCCTGTGGTGCCTCAGCTGTGCGAAAAGGGTGGTGAGGGGGACTCTGGCCAGATTTTGGAGGCATGTTTGGGGCTTACGTGGCAACAGGTGCCGCAAATATCCCGGCTCCACGCTGGGCGTGACTCGGCGCTCGTTCAGCGTTTCCAGATAATTGCAGATGTACTCTACCATTTCCATACCACGTTTTCGAAATTCGGTGCTGTCCATCTTGGATGGGTTCTCCAAATCGCTTTCCTGAGTGTTTTCGAATTTTTCCGTTTCCGTTTACACCCACGCTTAGCTTTATTATGAAACGTTTAAAAATTGTTCAATGAATCAGCGTAGTACCAGCAAATATATTCAATTTTTGTTGTGTCCGCTTTTTCTAGATATTCCAATTGTTTTGTGTATACATACAAAGTTTTTCTCTATTTCTAGGCACAACTTGAACTAACACAAAACAGGAAGCTAGCTAAATTAAATATTTTTAAAAGAAGCTGTTCTTTACCGAGCTTTTTATAATAAGCACAACGAAACTATGACTTTGTTTTCATAATTTTTAATTAATTCGACGACGGTTTATATAGCAGCTATGTAATGGCTAAAAAAGTTTGGGCGTGACAGTTTTGGCCGGTTTGTGGGCGGTAGAGTGGACGTGGCAAAAATATTTCTTACGAATCGGTAGAAATTACTAGACTAATACAAAAAAGAAAAATATCGAAACATTTTTCAAAAGTGTGGGCGTGGCAAAGAGATTTTTGGCAAATCTGTAATAAATTGACAAAACTAACAAAAAAAATTAAAAAATTTCAAAACATTTTTCAGTAGTGGGCGTGACAGCTTTGGGCGGTTTGTGGGCGTGACAAAAAGTTTTTATGGCAATGCGATAGAAATTTACAAGACTTATAAAAAAATAAAAAATATCAAAACAATTTTTAAAAGTGGGAGCGTGGCAGTTTTTCGCTGTTTGTGGGCGCTAGAATGGGCGTGGCATATCAATAAACAAACTTTCGCGGTGTCTATCTCTCAACTTTCTAGCTTTTAGAGTTCCGAGATCTCGACGTTCACAGGACGGACATGGCCAGTTCGACTCGGCTATTGATCCTGATCAAGAATATATATACCTTTTATGGTGGGAAAGGCTTCCTTCTGCCTGTTACATACTTTTCAACGAATCTAGGATACCCTTTTATTCTACGAGTAACGGGTATACTAAGTTGTACAGAATGTAAGGATTTTGGTTCTTTATGTATTAACAAAACC